TATCTGTTTTTGGCCAGTCCTGGGGCTTGAACTCAGGGCCTGGGCACTGTCCGAGTCAGTTCCAAGCCAGCCTGGACAGGAATGTCAGTGAGACTCATCTCCAATTAACCACCAAAAAGCTGGAAATGGTTCTATGGCTCAAAGTGGCAGAGTGCTAACTTTGAGCATAAAACCTGAGGGACAGTGCACAGGCCCTGAGGTCAAGCACCAGGATTAGCACCAAACAAACAACAAAAACCCAAAACACAAAAACAAAACCCCAAATCACTTGGCACCTGACATTTAACAATCTTTTAGGTTGGCTAAATCATGATGGGGGCCTCCAGTTAAACGTAGCACATCAAACTCCTCTGCTTCTACCTAGAGCTCCTCTTTAAGTAACAGTGAGAGGCCTGCAAGGCAATAACACTCATGAACTGAGAGAGTGGGAAAGACAGTAAGATGAAGCCAAAAACTGTCCAGCTAACCTAACAGACCACAAAAGCTGAAAATTCTGCTAACCAGTGAAGGGGTGCAGATTTCAATCTGAAGAGTCACAGAAAGGCTCAGGAATGGGTGACCCCAGACCTCAGAGAGATGAACGATGAGCAGTGAAAACAGCTCTCCTCAACTTGTGACAGTGACCATGCCAGCAGCAAGCTGTCCTCCAGACAGGAGCTGCCCGCTCTCCAGAGTGTCACTCAGAACCCCGGCATTTCAGACAATGATCACAGAGACAAACATAAAGGAATCTGCGAGAAAGATACAGAAAAAGCAGGAAGGGAGAATATATAAAACGGAGAAAATAGGAAGCGATTACATAAACAATGTAAGAACAGAACACTATTTTTAACACTTCAGAGACCAAAATGGCTTTTAAGACATTAAGTCTAACATCTGATTGAATTCTAGAAAGTGAGCGAAAAGGCAGAAGAAAGGGGAGAGAAATCCAAGGACAAGAGCTGTAGGCTGACAAAGCCCAGCCAGTCCCCTGAACAAAAGATGAAAGGAACCCACAGGAAGGCACATCTCTGAAATCTCACAAGACTGAGGATGAAGAGAAAGCCCTGAAAGCTTTCACAGGAAAAAAAAAAAAAGCCACGTAAGATAAAACTAACGGCTTCAGCTTCAGTGGGAATACCAGAATAAGTCTCTAAAATGGAGGAAGTTCTGAACTGTAACCTAGAAATTCTATGCCCTGGCAAATACATAAATTGGAAGGATAAATCAAGATGGGTTCAAATGTCAGCCTGGGAACACTGTTTTTCTCAATCCTTTTAAAGAAAGCTAGAGGAGAGGGTGAGCATCTTCAGAATTCTTTGAGGGAGAATCCTACAGAAATCTAATTCCACACATATGGCATTCAAATCCTGCCAACTCATCCATATTATGTTATTATATTAACCTGACAGACAGATGTCACTTTTTGTGTGTTCCAGTCAGGGCCTGGGCTCTGCCCCTGAGCTTCTTTTGCTCAAGGTGAGAGCTCTACCACTTGAGCCACAGCACCACTTCTGGCTTTGAATAGTTTATTGGAAATAAGTCTCATGGGGTTTCCTGCCCAGGCTGGCTTCAAACCACAAGCCTCAGACCTCAGCCTCCTGAGTAGTTAGGATTACAGGTATGAGCCACCAGCACCCAGCTACAGATGTCACTTTTCTGAAACAAAATAGCTAAAATTTTACATGTGTGGTTCAATAACTGGTTATTAATAAAGCACAGGTATTTAAAACTTGGGAGAACTACACTTCTATTTTTTGTATTATTGGGATTTAAATTCAGAAAGCTTGCTCTTGCTAGCCAGGTGCTTTACTACTTGAGCCATTCCTCCAGCGGTAAGAATTATGCTTTGATCAATAAAAGCAGCTTTTAAAGGCTGGACAAGGCTCATGCCTATAATCCTAGCTATTCAAGGGAAGGAGATAAGAAAGCGGTATGATTGCAACCAAGGCAAAAAGTTATTGAGATACCACCTCAATCAATAAACAGAATGTAGTAGCCTGTAATCCCAGCTATGCTGGGTAGGAAGATCACTGTCTGAGGTCAGTCCTGAGAAAGAAAAATTCTGGTGAACTTACCTGTAAATGAGTGAAAGCAAGAGAGACTAGTAGCATGGTTCAAGGACTCAAGTAGTAGAGTGTCGGCCTAGTAAGTGCAAGGCCCTGAGTTCAAATATCAACTCGCTATAGGAAAGGGACTAGTTTTTAAACTTGTGCATAGGAAAATATTTGGTTTCATTTTAATTAGCCTGGTGCCAGTGACTCATACCTGCAATCCTAGCTACTCAGGAGTCTGAGGATCAAGGTTCAAAGCCAACCTGGACAGGAAAATCCATGAGACCCATCTCCAGTTAGCCACCAAAAAAATCAGAAATAGATCTGGTAAAGTAACAGCTTTAAACAAAAAAAAGCTAAGACAGTGCCCAGGCCCTGTGTTCAAGCCCCAGCATGTTCATGCACACATATAAAAGATGGATGGAAGGAAGGAAGGACGGAAGGA